CCAGGCTGGTCTCCAACTCCTGACCTCAGGTGATCCATCTACCTTGGCCTCCCAAAGAGCTGGGATTGCAGGTGTGAGCCACCGCGCCCGACCTCTACTATGCCATCTTCAGGAACCAAGATTTAAATATATACATATATATATGTGTGTGTGTGCGTGTACACACACACACCAAACTCTGCTGCAACTTGGTGTAAAAGACCCACTGCCTGCGTCGTGTTATGGACCAATTAAATCAGGCTCTCTGGGGGTGGGTCTCTATATCAGTGCTTTTAAAGCTCTCAGGCTTTGGGCTGCAAGGTGAAGAACCAGTGATTTAAATGAGTGCTTCTGACCCCTTAATCTGCAAATGAATCTCCTGGGGTCTGCTTATAAGCCGGATGCTGACTCAGGGATCTGGGCAGGGCCTGAGATCCTGCATTGTTTTTTTTTTGACGGAGTCTTACTCTATCACCCAGGCTGGAGTACAAGCTCAACCTTGCCTCAGGGCAACCTCCACCTCCCAGGTTCAAGCGATTCTCCTCCCTCAGCCTCTCGAACAGCTGGGACTACAGACACACACCACCACGCCCAGCTATTTTTTGTATTTTTAGTAGAGACAGAGTTTCACCATGTTGGCCAGGTCTGTCTTGAACTCCTGACCTCAAGTGATCCCCCTGCCTTGGCCTCCCAAAGGGCTGGGATTACAGGTGTGCCACCACGTTCAGCTGAGATTCTGCATTTCTGGGAGTTCAGGGAGAAGTTGATGCTGTGGTTCCCTGGACTACCCTTTGAATTTTAAAGATCTAAACCACCAGGCCTGGTTTTCTAGAAGGGCCTGTGAACTCTTCCTGCCCAGAAGGGTGAACGGATAAACCCACTCCCAACTGGGCCCCAGCAGACTGGGAGGGGATATCAGGAAGGAAGGGGGCAGGAGGGCAGCTGGAGAGGAGAAGCCGTTGAAGAACATTTAGGGCTTTTCCTCTGACCCTAAGAATCACCAGCTGTGGCTGTCTGTTGAGTTGGGTCTCCTGGACTCATGGGAAAACCCCCTTGGAATCCCCATTCAGGACCAACTGTCATTCTCAGCCACTGGGTTGGAGATCCCTCCAGAAATATCCACAGTTCCTGCCATCTGGAGGTCGCTCTATAAATACAGGGTCACTTCTCTGCCCCCTGACCTGTCCACATGGGGCAGAGAGCTGAGGATACAGATGCTGAGCCACATGTGAAGCCCTGTAATTCCCTCCTCAGAAGAAGGTACCTCCCTCTACACATGGCCCAGAGAGCCCTCTGTGGGGTCCGCTTCCTGAATCTGTGGGGTGGGCAGAGGGCCTGAGGGTTGCTGAGAGTACTCATCATTGGTTTTCAAACTGGCTGTAGCAGAGATACCTGTTGAAAGGTAGATTTTAGGCCGGGCACAGTGGCTCACACCTGAACTCTCAGCTCTTTGGGAAGCTGAGATGAGTAATCACTTGAAGTCAGGAGTTTGAGATCAGCCCAGCCAACATGGCAAAACCCTGTGTCTACTAAAAATGCAAAAATGAGTCGGGCATGGTGTCGCAAGCCTGTCATCCCAGCTACTCGGGAGGCTGAGGCAGGAGAATGGCTTGAACCCGGGAGGCGGAGGTTGTGTAAGCTATGATTGCTCCACTGCACTCCAGCCTGGGTGAGAGGGCAAGACTCAGTCTCAAAAAAAAAAAAAAAAGGTAGATTTTAGGATCCCATTGTAGGTCTTCTGAACCTCCAGGATTGGGGCTTGGAGATATGCCTTAATAAGAGGTGTGGAGAGGGAGCCAGGACTTTGGGAAACACTGACCTTCTCGCCTCCCCTAGCCCCCACTGGTCTTGGCCTCTGAAGGCTTTGGGGAGCAGACCTTCGAGAAGCAACCCTATCTCTGATCCCTGCAGCTGGGCTTGGGACCTTGAAGTCAGAAGAACCCCAGGGAAGAAGGTCCAGGCTCAGACAGCTGCTGGCCTCTGGATGACCTTGGAGGTCAACACCTGGAGTCCGCAGACTTTGCTGGGCAGATGGCAGGTGGTCTTAGGCAGGCGACTTTACCTCTCTGGCCTCAGTCTCCACATCTGTAAAGTGGGGCCATACTTTCCCCCTACCTGGCAAGAATGATGAAGGACTAGAGAAGACATATCAGATGCCCTTCTCAGATTAGGGGCTCAGGAAACAGCAGCCTTGGTGACAGTGACTTAAGGTCATGAGCAGAGGAGTCTCAGGTCAGAAACCCCCATGGGCCAGCAGCACACAGGACAGGAGCCTTGTGTCAGGGGCCTGTGCTGGGAATATCTGTCTTCCCAGCAGAACAGAGCTGGTCTTTCCTGAGTGGCTCCTGCTGGCCTCACAGTGAGTGCCCCCAGGACAAAGGGCACCTGGACAGAGGTACGCACATGGCCTTTCTCTCCAGTGACCCCAGGAGTCCTGGACCAGCAGCCAGGGTCATGGGTGTGAATTCTGGCAAACGCAGGACAGGGTGGTAGAGCCCAGAGGCTGGAGGAGAATGACCAGGGGAGGGAGGAGACGTCAGTCTGGCAGGACCGTGACAGGCTCTAAGTCATGCAGAGCGTTTGACTCTTTAGCTGTGGGCAAAGGGCAGTTGGCATAGAGGGTCAGTGGGGAGTGGAAGGAGTTTGACTACATCTGGAGTTGGAAAAGGCTCACGTTGCACTCCGTGTCCCCACCAGGCAGGATGGAAGTGGCAACCCCCACACCTGTCACACCCAGGCCAGCAGCTGCTCATCTCCCTCAGCCTGGCATTACCATGGGTGGCGCTTCCTAAGATGCCACTGGCCCCTCAGATCTGCACCCGCCTCCCTGGCATCTGGAGACGATCCTGCCATTTCTCCCCAGGTAGGGTTGCCAGGTGTAGCAAATAAAAATAAGGGAACTCAAACCGGGCATGGTGGCTCATGCCTGTAATTCCAACACTTTGGGGGAGGCCAAGGCAGGTGGATCATTTGAGGTAAAGAGTTCGAGACCAGCCTGGCCAACACAGTGAAACCCTGTCCCTATTAAAAATACAAAAGTTAGTTGGGCATGGTGGTGTGTGCCTGTAATTCCAGCCACTCGGAAGGCGAAGGCAGGAGAATTGCTTGAACCCGGGAGACAGAGGTTGCAGTGAGCCAACATAGTGCCATTGCACTCCAGCCTGGGCGACAGAGTGAGACCCTGTCTCAAAAAAAAAAAAAAAAGGAAAATGAGCTAAATTAGAATTTGAGATAAATTGCTTTTTTGTTGTTGTTGTTCCATGAAATATTTGGGTCATATAAAATGATCACTTGCTTATTTCAAGTTCAGATGTACCTGGGCGGCCTCTATTTTCTGACAGCCCTGTTGTGACCAAACACAGGCTTGGCTGCTGGTCACTTACAAAGCCAGTAACAAGGATGAGATGCAGTGAAAGGAAACTGACTTTCTTCCAGGGCCAGTGGTGGGGAAAAAGCCCAGGCTTGTGCTTCACAGGAACCATTTCAAACTTTAGGCTGGGGAGACGAACTTAAAAAGGGCGCTTGGAAGGCCGGGGCAGTGGTGGCTCACACACGGAATTTGACCCAAGTCTTCCAGTCTAGCCTGGGCAACATGGC